CAATTAAAAGAAGATATTAAGTCTGAGGAGGCTACAAATCTCTATAAGAAAATCACTATCACTGGTGTGAAAAGCTGCTTGTCTCTTCAAATCCGCGATGCCATACTCGTATCCGTATACACATAAGTACCGAACAGGAACTGTGCATTGCAAGTTCCAAACTTCTGGTAGATCGATATTCTCCCAAATTATTCTCTTGCGCGTGCTACGCATCTCGAGAATTTCTGCAAGAGAGAGCTGCTCAGTGGGAAAGTTTAATGAACACGTTGAATTAGCTGGTGATCAAGACACTACCAGTCAAACATATTTCAGCCTTTTTGAAGTTATATTACAACTTTTATAGGAAGATTACAAGTGACTAATGACCGTGTTTAATAGCGGTTAGTATTTGTGCAGACGAAGCGAAAATCGTTTTAAGAGTTCCTATAAGTATCGAGGAAGAATCCGTAGGAAAGAGAACTTAATTTTAACAGAGACAAAATTAATATCCATTAGCAAACATTGATTCAAACGAGCTGGAAAATAAAAGTTATTACCGAACGACGACAGGAAACTTTCAAGAGGAAAAAGTATATCCGCTATCAGCGATGCTTGACCATTTAATATTTAAGTAGAATCCCGTGGAGAAGAAAAACGTGGAAGGAGTATTTCGACTGAAGCCTTCGTTTCAATCGTAGTTAGCCTGTCTTTAAATGAACTTATTAAGAAAGAGTCTGAGTGAGACGGAGCGGGGGATCCGATGTTCTTAAGAATCTCCCCGTTCCTTTAGTTTTTGTTTTAAGCTCATTGCGAAAGTGCTTGCGTTTAATAAAAAAGAAACTGAGATCCGTTTCCCATTGAAACGGTTTCCTTTACTCTTATCGTCACTCGTTTCGTCGACTGATTTTCGGATTAATCCCTCCATTGAAGTCCATGCCAATAACTCGAAATTGAAGAAACTTCAATCGGTTGACCTGAAACAACTACTCCTCGTTTTTATAGAATCGCTGGAGGATGAAATCACTTTTCCTACGAAACGCGTTGCCATATAATAAATCATATCAGAAATGATATTAATCATAATCATGCAGTAAATTGTACAATAAGTCATAAACAGTATTGACAAAATTATATTTTGTGCCGTGTAGTAATTTCAACGAAAAATGATCATTCTCCAAAGTTGTCAATCCTTTGCATTCAAATTTATCGCTGGAAAAAATCTGTACAACTAATTTAATACTTCATCCATTAGTTAAATTACATTAGAATATTAGAAATGTTCCAGACATTTTTATAGCCACAATTAAAATTTCATTTATCTACGTTGTGCTAAAAGATTGACAAACAAACTATGTATATAGTGCCAAATGAAATTTTTATGCGTCTATTCATTGATCAATGTCACACGGTCAATTTGTTTTACACACGTACATACAACAATTCGTTCAGATACGTGTTTGACAATGTGTCCTAACTTCAGATTTATGACTGATATGTACATTCTGAATTATATTAAACTTGTGCCATACATATAAAGTAGGAACGTGTTCATCATGTCTAACAGTTTAATGTTTAACACGTGGCTTGGAATCATTGATGCATTAGGATTAACATGTAAAATTTCGCGCGAACGTGTTTCCATCACGGTTAAATCCGTGTATTTGAGTCGCGTTTTATCGCGTATAATATGCGTTTCGAAAGAATCCTCTTTTCGATGCTGAAAGGTGACGAGCATCCGGCTTTTAAATCATGCGAAGACTCTCGCCGGTAAAACACGAGAAACACGAGCTTTACATATCTACACCCCCGTTCATAAAAGGTTTTTTAAACAATTTCAGACACTTTCATCAGATTGTTTAACGGTGAGTTATATAAGAATGTTATTAGAGTACATTTAAAACAAATAGGATACAATAGACATTTTTTAAAACTCTTATACTACACAAGTGCGCATACGAAACAGAATATGATATTAATATCCGAAAAGCGACGAACATTTCATACAGATATTCAACATGGAAGTACGAAGCATCGAGATATAAAGAATCGCGCGAGATAAAGCACGGTTGCGATCCTAATAAATTCCAATCCTCCTTGTACTGTTTTTATTCCCGCGAAACGATAAATCTTTAAAGCGTCCAAACGAGAAAAGTCCATAACGCAGCGAACATGTACATGCGGAGAACAGCCAGAGGGGTTGAAAAAAAAACACAGGACAAAAAAACTGTTTACAGTCGAAATATTTTGCTTTGGAATCAATATCGTTTCCTGGCGATTTAAACATAGACGAAACCCTCTCTCTTTCTAGAGCGAAACAAAATAAACATGCCTAAAACGATGGCTACAGCAAAGGGTAGTCAAAAAAGTATTTTGGTGCAAACAAAAAAACTGTAAAAGAAATACAATCCATTGTGTACACGTACGCGTTGAATAAAATGGATTCGTCGTCGAAGCGTGAACATGCATCACGATAGAACAGAACAGGGAATACCGATTCGGATTATACTTTTCTTTCTCAACGCCCAAGCCACTCACGCCGGATTTTCTTTGCCTCATCCAGGTCCCTTGTCCCTTTTATCCGCTTTCTTCATTTCGCTGCGTGTAACTCGCAACCCGTGCGACGATCCTATCTCCGTATTTTTCTTCGACCATCCTTATTGAGCCTTCGCCTTAACCTCCCCCGTCGCCATTACGAAGCAACGATTCTACGAAATAACCGAGCCCGACTTTCTTTTCTTCACAGTTCCATTACCCAGTCCTCCTAATATTCCAGGATGGTTACAATCGTGATGTCATCTTTAATACCGAATATTGCGCTGCCAAGGGCACAGCCGTCTCTTAATGTTAGGTCAGAATCAATTCGCTTGTACAAATGTCACTTAAGAAGAAACACACGTTACAGAAAAGTGTCTTAACGTGCTCACAGTCATCGGTATCCTAACTGCGTTTGCTTCGTGATGTTAAATCTACTTCACATTCTAATCCTTATGTAGTACAAACATGAAATCATTTGATTTAGAAAGACGGAAATCGATACCTTCGTTTTGGGGAAAACTTTTCTTCATTTTTTTCACATAATCTGATTGTGATCGACAGGAGAAGAAGTAATATAAAATCCTGGTTAGGGGAATTCATCACATACGACAATCATTTTATATACAAGGTGGGCTGGAAATCGTAGTACAACCGGGCAGGGGATGATTCTATGTTAAAAAAGAAGAAAATATTTTGGTATAACATTTTGCCATCTGGAGCTCCGTTTTCGTGAAAATCGGCTCCAAAGTTTGTTCGGCTTCAAATTCTTGTTAGAAACTTTAATACAAAAAGTTAAAACACATAACGTTCACTTTTTTCTTCGCGATTATAACCAATAAAAAATTCCTGTTGCTCATTATATATAAAGTAAACTAAATCTATCGTACAAATGCTTATGCTGTCTGGTTCAATATTAAAAAAGTTATTCTATTTTAAAAAGTGTGTCGGTACTTTATTAAGCCACTGTACAATGTAATTTTAGTACGTGGATGTTTCAACTGAAATTGCTGTATTAATTCTAAAAATGTTCGACACTTTGATAGAACGAAATAATTACAATGACGTTCCAATTTCTGTTCGAGAAAAGACCATTTAAGTTGGAAATAAATTAAACTTCCTTCGACTCGAGTTAAAAACGTTCAACGATAGGATGAAGTTCTCTTTCCGCGCAATTACGAGCTAATTAAGGTAGAAATCACGAAGAACGACATTCCTCGAACAACCTTTTGTTTAAACAAAGAAGGTTCTACCCTTAAGGAAAAAGTTTGATGCAGCTCTCTGACACAGTCACTTTCGCCGTGAAATCGAGTTCTCTGGAATTGTGTGTCATTTCCTCAAAAATATAGTATCGTCTTTAAGTTTCGCGCGATATTAACCCGACCTACTTCCCAGAATCTCTGTCAGGTTCCTCGTCAGAAGTTGAGACAATTTTATCATAACATTTCCATGATGTAAAACTACGCTTTTAAATGTTTATCTTCATTAAGTGCATCTGCATATGTATAAAAATTTTTGTAAAAAAGATATGGATATGAGAAATACAAAGAATTTGTTCAGCACTGCAATAAGGACTGATTAAAAGTAAACATGCGAAATGCAATCTTGTGTAGAAAGGGATCCATTTCGTACAAAGAAATTTGCTAATTCAGTTTTGACAAAGGTTCATTTATTCGACTGTAGCGATGCAGGAGTATATTTTCACGGCACGTAGTGCACGCACAATAGCTCCCCTTTTTGTAGCGGAGAAAATCTCGTTGGGAGAACCGGAAAACTCTCACCGGGCGCGACCTCTTACCGAGCGCGGCCAATGGCTGCGGCTCGTTAGCGATCCGTGCCTTCACCGCATCACGGGCTGCTGCAACGGCCGCGTTAATTAACCAACCCGTGCTTCGGCTCGAAAACATTGCTCCAACACTTCACAAATTATCTGGTCAAACGGCGCGTAGCTTACGTCGGAATATAATGCAGTGCTAATGAATATTTTAGATCCAATATTATTGCGTACCGAAGATTTTTCGAACATCTACGTAAACGAGAAATGCGAACAATTATAATATAGATCTGTCGTTATTTTCTATTGACGTCAATTAAATTTGTTACATGTCGTCGTAATTAAACTTACTTGAATTCACAATACATAAATAACTCTTTAGCTACATGTATACATACTTTATTAGGTCCCGAGATTCGTCTATCTATCGAGAGAATAGTGCAAATTTCATATAAAAAACGAAACTATATCCAGCATCGTTATTTCTTTGTGGTTGAACATTTTCATAATGTCGCGCTTGAAAAGACTCGAAGGGCCTGATGAAAATTATTCGAGCGATCGGCTCGATTGCCAATTATTACATGGGCACGTGTGCCGCGTGCGCGGAAAGGGGGAACGAGGAATTACCTTTCGCGATTAAATACGCGGCAACGTGGCGCGTGTTCCTCCGGATCGTTAATCACTTTGTAAATAAGCGGCGTTTATTTGATTACAGGTTGTGGCCGACGTACGCCAGCGCGCATAACAACCTCGGAACGTTAACGGTGGGCGATCAAGCGGAGCAACACTTTTTGGCAGCGATACACGCGCAACCGGGCCACGTGAACGCTCATTACAATCTTGGTCAGCTCTACAGGTCAGTGAGCCATGCATAGTGCAAGATATTAATTATTTCTCATCGCATCTCATTTGTTTTTCTGATTGTCTTGAAATGTTCAAAGAAATGGTGTATCGTTAACAAATATCATTTATGTCGGAGATATTAATCGACATATGCAAGATGAATATTATGTGGTTAGCGTTATAGCGATTGTGTTTACATAATTTGATAATCAAGTAATAAATCATCTCCTGTATCAAGGCTTGACAGAGTTTCGTACGTGCTTACATTACATGATGCAATTTATGAAAATCAAGATAGAGATAGATATTTCTTATTATAAAGAATAAATGGAATATTGCGAAATGTTACAATTAAATAATAGATAACGTCTTACATGATGTATTACTAAAATTCTGCATGTGTTTAACAATAAGCTGGCAAAATTACGTGATTTATGAAGATCAAAGATAGACATCCTTCGCTTCACTTCTAGAACCACGATAACAATAATATTACCATCAATCATAAGAAATCGAGGATAATTTAAAGCAGAGTATTCTTTTACATGAAAACATTCATCATTCACGAAGATTATTCCCTCGGCGTACATGCCGCCATGGCGGGCTCTCTCAGTGCAAAAGTAACTCATTCATTCGCGTGAAAAATAAACGAGTCCAGGCCGGGCCGGGAAGCCAGCCAGTCGAAATCAAAGATAATTCCCGTCATGGACGAATGCCCCGGGGTCTAATGGAGTCTTCCATCGCGTGGAATAAACAAGCGTTACCTACAAAGAATCCCGAATCCGGCTCCTGGTCTCTATGTTATTAATGGCATATCGAGGTAGACCGAAGTGCATGTCCCGCGATAAATTTACCGTGGCAAGGTAATTCTGGCAGCACGGTCAAAATTAAAGTTTAATTAGCGCCTCATGCTTGATAAATTAAAGTTTAATTGATGGCTAGCCATGTTCGTGCGTACGCGTTGCATATACCTACGTACCATAATCCGCCCACGTACTCCTGCTTCACGCTCCATCATTCGTCGGATATGATAGGAAAAACGATAGTCATACATTTTTCAGCTTCTCGCAATTCTCGTGAAATCGAGGAGAACGAGTCGACCATCGGAAGCAGTTATAAAATGCCTTTTTACGAGATACATTTTATGAAATGATGTTCTGTATTATTCGCCAGCCGCATAAATGATATACGTACACATTTTAGCGTACATTAAGCAATTTATAGCAGTATTATAAAATGTATAGAATGCAAAATGAAGAATCTTGGCAAAGGTCGATTCAACAGTTAATCAGATTAAACAAGTCTGTCGCAGAATGATATTCCATCTGATATGAAACTATACATATAATATTAATCCCCATACATCTTTAAAATATTTCTACTAGAAAATCCATGCTCTCCACTCATCGAATCATGTACTCCTCCAACTCTGTTGGCACTCCCGTCGCATCGCCTATTCATTACATACTGCATATTCCATGAGACTAACTAACGCGGTGTCACTCGATTCCGTTTGTTCAGGAAGACAAACCGAACCGAGGAGTGCATACAGATGCTGCAAAAATGCGTGTCCTTGGACCCGGCGTACACGCCGGCCTACTTGGTTCTGGCGAGAATAACCACGGGGCCGATGGCTGGTGCTCTTCTGCGACACGTGGTCAAATTGCAACCCAGAAGTCCGGACCACTTGGCAGAATACGCGTCGTGGTTGTACCAAAATGGTAAGTGGACACCAAAGTTACAGTATAGTTTAAGCATTGTAGGTGGTGTTAGGATCGACGTATGTAAGATTCATTACTGGGTTGACGATACGTTTTTACGTGATACTAAAATAACGATTCTTTCTCAATAACGAATTACCATTAGACTGCAATTATAAGGAAATTGAATATGCAGAAATCATAAATGCCGCTTGTAATATGTAAAACAATTCGTAATATCAAGAGCTGAATAGATATTCCAATGTTTAAATGATCAAACAAATGTTTATAACGTTAATCTATATCACGAAAATGTATCTAAGGAAAAAAGCGGAACAAATATATTGTAATTGGTTAGTTTGCAACCTTCTACGTCTTTTTTCGAATAATTGTATACGGAAAAGGATAGAGGGAAGTGTAAGAAATGCATTCGCTCCTGCTGTTAGTTTACGTGAAAAAATGGCTAGAGGAGCTGTGTTCCCGTCGCGACGACGGTTCGAAGCAGGGGTTGAAGTAGTTTAAAGTAGCGAAACAACATCGAAACTCTGGCTGCGTAACGGCTTCGCGCTCACGGCTGAAATCGTCGTTCCTCTCTTCAGGCAAATGGCTCCCCTCCCTCAAGTACTATCTCAAAGCAATGGAAGTCTCGCCGTTGCATAGATCATCACTTCTGGGAACTGTTAGGATACTAAGGTCGCGAGGTCAGTGGCCAAGGGTGCACCAACTTATCACCAGGTGAGTGAACGAGATTAACGCTTTCCAATGAAGTTTCGCGCGTGTGACACGTCACTGCCATTTTGTCTGTGTTATTCGCGAGAGCTCAACCGTGCTAGGATTAGAAAGTTCGCTAGAGCTTCTGTTTGACGATTAAAATATCAAATAAGGATTTTGCAATAATGCTAAGGAATCAGTGACAACAGGTAAGTAATAAGCGATTTGCTTATTTTCATGAGTGACGGTAAAATAAATTGGCAGTGTAATAATGGTTGTGACGATTAAAAAATGCAATCAGAGTTTCTAATAATAAATGACAAAGTTCCGGAACTTAATCACTGACTACAAACTTTTAAGGAACACATTCCTGTGGTTATGAAAGCATTACAAGTTTACGGGCTGAAAGATATATTAAAAGAACATTTAGCAGCGCGCTGATCGTTCCTCCCCCGAAGTAAATTAGCAGAAGTAAACGAAAACTCTGGCTAGAGGAACTGCTTCGGTTCCAGTGAAAAATGCTGCGGAGCGATGCGCCGTGGCGTGGCCACTTGCTGGCGAGCAAACGAATCCTCCGAACAGCTTAGCCAACTTCGACTCTCGGGGTGACGCAAAACTTTCATCCCTCGATGGCAATCAGGTCGTTTGCCACACGTTCCAACCCCCTAATCTCGCAAACGTATGTAACCGTGTTTTAAAATTTAAAATGCCCTTTTTCTTTTGCTACCTATTTTTAATTTTTAATTTCAATCTTGAAAGTCCACAAATTTTCAAACTTCGAAGTTGTCAATCAAGAACATTTTGTCTTATATTATCCATTTTATATTTCAAACCTCTAACGTATCAAATTTATAAATGCTCAAATTGTTGGATTTTTTTAAATGTAAAAGCTTCCTAGTAGTCAAATTTCGTTCCCAGAATTTTTCACGTATTCACATGTCCAAGATATAGAATCCTTAAAATTACTCGTTTTAGAATGGATTATAGAAGTAGTTGGATGACCGTTGTTCTCACTCCAGTCCCTCTTTTCTTCTCGTCGCTCGCGCTCTGTAATCCTGTCGCATACTCGCGTCGCAGATGTCGACTATAAAACAACCATGGTAAAACCAGTAACGATTTACGCTGTTTTTGTAGGACGCGCCTGATGCGCACTGAAATTAATTCTTTCTTCGAAGCTGAGAGATTCTCCGATATTTTACTGCATTACTTTATATATATAAATTATTTTATTTTTCAAGTCAAGAGAACAATAATATTTTGTCAACAAATCAGACAACGTGCCAGTTAAACAGAATTATATGTATAAACATTATTACCAAGTGAGTTATATTTTATGGCAAGAATATACATATTACAATAGGAGCTATCCGTTAGAGTTAGAGTGTTTTTCCAAATTTAAAACTGCAGGGTGATGTAGACGTAGTCAGCTGGACCAAACACAGGTCGATTGAGCAAAGGGTCAAATTTTAAAGAAACAACGTTGAAAGCAATAGCGATGACCACAAAAAACCACAGAATCCTATATAGTACGTAGTCTTGTCAATTCCTTCGATATCCATCGTTTGACGAATGTGCCCAGGACGCGTGAGTTTTATGTACAAATACAATTTTCGCCATCCATCAAACGTCATAAACAACTACAAATGTATTAGAATCGTTCCGTATTAAAAACTGTACCTCACAAGTATACCCGCATATTTAAAATGTCTTATTCATTAAATTTATATTTTATATTTTTTTTATTATAATATTTATTAAATTTTTACTACTTATTCTTTTAATACTTATTTATATATATATGTATTTATTATAATACTTATTAAATTTACTTATAAAACATTACATCAAACCAAAATTGTACAGAAAAATTCATTTTTTCACAAAAAATTCAAATCATTTAACGAGTTAATAATAGTGTCATTCGTGCCATAAATTTTTGAGTCAGAGTATACAACAGACACAAGAGACGGAGTAATTAGAACAGCCCCGGCTCTTTGTTTCCCTGCCAGTGGAAATCTATATTAGAGGGAGCGACCGGTTGATGGTTCAAGGTTCGTTACGCGAGCTGTTCTTTTTTCTCGTCTGCCCGAGCTTAATGGTAGCCGCGAGCGAAACTCTGTTGCGGACACGGTCGTGACACGACGTTTCGCTAACATCACGACATTTTCATCGAATCGGAACACGAGCATTAGTAATAGAGTGACGCTCGGAAATTCCGGATACGCGACCCAAAGTGATTAAAGGTTGCCCTCTTGATTAGAGGATCGCGGAAATGAGTTTATTGTTCGCCGCCCGCTCTCAAAGCTACGCGATGCGTTCTGGGAGTTGAGTATTCAACATTCGTGTTATCCATAACACATATAAGCCATGAACATTATTGTCGTTCATGAAACTCGGTTGGTTTGCTCAATTTTCTGGTAAATGTATTAGCTACAGCGGTGGTAGACTCCTGGGTTTATTCCTGATTAATTACCTTCTATTAAAATACAATATACAATGTATTTGCAGATATTTATACCGTAGTGTAATATTAATTATACTAAGACGTTAATTGCAATGTATGCAAAAAAGTTATAAAAATTTAAAACCCTGTTTAGACTAATATATTGTAGAACTAATACAGTTTCGAATAGATTATACCGGCATAAGTGGATTGAGCACCTAGCGACCGTTGTAGGAAGACTTGTAAATAAACCATAAAGCGATAAATTTGTCAAATCTTACACTGCATTTTCGATCGTTTCATTGTTCATCCCTTGGCTAGAATCGGCTTATGAATTATTCACGAGCATGAATTATTCAGTGAAGAATTGCGGGACTGGCCAACGTTTAACCATGAGCTTCCTCGTCGCCTCGTTGTACTGTACATAGCGCAAATCATCGCCAGTAAATTGAATGCAATGATCTCTGAGAAAATAATCAAAGTAGGACTCTCTTTTCAAAAATTATAATAAATCTTTCTCAATTGTTAGACTACAGATTTGTATGCGAAACAGGATTTGTGTGAGCATAATTAAAAAGGTGTAGTCTGTCTCTAGGAATTCTTAATTTTACGTAATGTTTTAAGACACGTATATTTTTTATAAGTGTGTAAAAATTCATAGTTTATTCATTGTTTTTAGTGAAATGAGCACAGGTGAAAATTGAAATAAAACGAGTGAACAGAATGGAACATTTTTAGGTGTACCAACTATACATTTTCTGGGGCGTATATACGAGTTCGCACTACAGATTTTATGGGGCAAGTGAAACAGAATATTGCAGAGCTCGTACACTGCCGAAATAAATTTTTACGATATATTTATTTCGCGCGTATTCTATTGGCTTAAACGTGGCAGGTGCTGCACGAACGTCAGATTAATTTCTCATAAATCGCAAATACTTTTCGTCGATTGGTTCCAGATTCCATTTACGCTTCAAGCGTAGTGCCCCTGTTTGAGATTCAGACCGTTATTGCTTATTTTGTTTCCCTGTATATTATTTTTGGAAATGAGTTTATTGTTCGCCGCCCGCTCTCAAAGCTACGCGATGCGTTCTGGGAGTTGAGTATTCAACATTCGTGTTATCCATAACACATATAAGCCATGAACATTATTGTCGTTCATGAAACTCGGTTGGTTTGCTCAATTTTCTGGTAAATGTATTAGCTACAGCGGTGGTAGACTCCTGGGTTTATTCCTGATTAATTACCTTCTATTAAAATACAATATACAATGTATTTGCAGATATTTATACCGTAGTGTAATATTAATTATACTAAGACGTTAATTGCAATGTATGCAAAAAAGTTATAAAAATTTAAAACCCTGTTTAGACTAATATATTGTAGAACTAATACAGTTTCGAATAGATTATACCGGCATAAGTGGATTGAGCACCTAGCGACCGTTGTAGGAAGACTTGTAAATAAACCATAAAGCGATAAATTTGTCAAATCTTACACTGCATTTTCGATCGTTTCATTGTTCATCCCTTGGCTAGAATCGGCTTATGAATTATTCACGAGCATGAATTATTCAGTGAAGAATTGCGGGACTGGCCAACGTTTAACCATGAGCTTCCTCGTCGCCTCGTTGTACTGTACATAGCGCAAATCATCGCCAGTAAATTGAATGCAATGATCTCTGAGAAAATAATCAAAGTAGGACTTTCTTTTCAAAAATTATAATAAATCTTTCTCAATTGTTAGACTACAGATTTGTATGCAAAACAGGATTTGTGTGAGCATAATTAAAAAGGTGTAGTCTGTCTCTAGGAATTCTTAATTTTACGTAATGTTTTAAGACACGTATATTTTTTATAAGTGTGTAAAAATTCATAGTTTATTCATTGTTTTTAGTGAAATGAGCACAGGTGAAAATTGAAATAAAACGAGTGAACAGAATGGAACATTTTTAGGTGTACCAACTATACATTTTCTGGGGCGTATATACGAGTTCGCACTACAGATTTTATGGGGCAAGTGAAACAGAATATTGCAGAGCTCGTACACTGCCGAAATAAATTTTTACGATATATTTATTTCGCGCGTATTCTATTGGCTTAAACGTGGCAGGTGCTGCACGAACGTCAGATTAATTTCTCATAAATCGCAAATACTTTTCGTCGATTGGTTCCAGATTCCATTTACGCTTCAAGCGTAGTGCCCCTGTTTGAGATTCAGACCGTTATTGCTTATTTTGTTTCCCTGTATATTATTTTAAAAAAGTGATACATATAAAATAACGAACCTTTTTCTGTTTTTGACGATGAATACATTCTAATTATTTTATTAATTCTTATTGATTATAAAAGGTATTAACAATAATCTGATTTTGGTTCGACAGGATTATCTTCTACTGTTAGATCTAATTTCTTAATATGAAAAAATGTGCTGTAAATGCATATGCAGTACATTTTGTATTAAAATCAAAGTATAAAATGGAAATAAAATTTCTAAAGATTGGTTTGCAATATAATAATAAACTTGTCACTCGAAAGCATCATTCTGCATGATGAGGGCGTTTATATAAATGTGCGGTCATAAGCATTCGCTTTCAATCCCAAAAACGTTTTAATGCCAAGTTAATACATTATAAGAAAACAAAATTACGCGTTACGCGTACTGACCAAAAATACGCTCGCCGTATTATCTCCGTTCGCGTGCACGCGAATGCATTTTGCCAGCCGCTGCCTCGCGTGGAAAATTATTGAGCATTATTACGGTTCGCATCGCTTTCGGTTATTTTCCAAAAATCTGATAAACGCGCACTGCGTTGCCAGATATCTTTCTCTAGTGGAAATGGCCAGTCGCAAACAATACCATATACTAGAACTTCACCAATAAAAGAATTTCGAAAATAAATGTGAAGAATAATTAAATTTTTATTATAGCGGAAATGTATCTGGAACTTGATGATAGAATGTGACGTGCATTTTGTACATCATTCAGAATTATACTCTGTGTAAACTAAAATTTATAAATTCTATAATAAGTCGAATTCTACAAATAGTTATACAATAAAATGATGAATCGTTTCATAATTTAATCATAAATACATATCATTGCCGTTATCAATCAGATTCATACGTGTATAGTCTGGCTATAAATGAATGATAAAAATCGGTGACACGGAGATATCGGTTGAAGGCTGCATAAAGAATCGCAGCAACATGAACCGTGTCCCAGCTTTTTCGAACACATAAATTTCGAGAATAGCTACCGCGTCAGGGGACGATTCTATAGGCGACGATAACGTCGTCACCGTTGCGTTAAGCGCTCGTCGGCGCTGATAAATCGGGAATTTACTGACGTTACCTCCGTTTCTGTATTTTCATCCCGTCAAGCCTAGAATCGTGCGCGCACCTGTTCGCGCGACCAGATATTTTCCGAAAATTTATTTACCCCTGCACTTTCTTCTGAAAATGCAGGGAAGACAGTGCTTTTCAAAAATTTCTTTCACTGTGAATTCTGCTTCAAAATGTTTAGTGAAACTTTTTATGCATAAAATAGAAAAATTAATTCGATTCAAGGGAATTAATTAATTATTCAATTAAATTTGACGTAATTCATAATACTGTGGACTTCCATTCCTAAATGCTGTAACTGTACAAAGGTACGTTATATAGGAGATTGAGAGTGTGTGTGTATCAGAGGTTCTGGAAGGAAATTAAGAGATAGCGCAAGTGCGTGCCATTCCTACCACGCTAATTACCGGCGAGTTCGACATCGACCGGAGATCGATTGCCGAGTTCCGTCTCTTCCGCGGAAGCGGGAACAAAGATTGTAGAATCCAAATTAGAGTATGTGTGGAAATGCGTGGAAGGAGCTTCAGATTCAAAGATACTCCAATGCAACCGCTAGTACCGAGTGAAAAGAATAATGTAAGTTTGATTTACTGAAACACATTTCAGTTCGCAGTAACGTTGCGTTCCTATTAACACGCGTAGAGTACGTGAAACTTATGTTGATCAGAGTCAATTCGATCGTGAAGGAAATTAGATTTAGTTTCATATCGACACTTCACATCGACTCCTCCTTGATTTGGAGACTCGTTCCTGATCCCTAACCGAAATCCCAATCGATTAATTAGGTTTCAATGCATATACAGTATGATCATGTAAACACTTATTTGATGATGAGATTTTATTTGTGTTATGAATCGTTTTCTATCTGATTCCTTCTGTTATTTTACTGTCTGTACAATGATCGACAGACACTACTTGTGAGCCCGTTTGCCATCATAACTTAGAAAATAAGTTAGAAATACTAACTTGCTATACAGTTTCTCTCTAATATCATAATTTTCGTCTTATGCGCGATATTATTTGAACATTCGAGCTTACCTTCATTTTTCTTCTCTTCCATTCGCTGCTTTCCCTGGTGAAATTTTTCTCTTCCTCTCTCACTGCTCCCTTCTCTGTCATCATATCGTTTGCTTTGTCGCGCCACGGGCTTTATCTAGCCCGCAGTAAATGGCGATTTTATAATTCATAGAGCATCGTGTTTCATCCGGTCTATCGATGCCCCGGCAAATGGTCGATATCGTACAACGAGGAGAATGGGGGTGGGGAGAGAGAGGCTCGCCCACGCGTTACCAGCCGTAACCGTCCCTGAGCGAAATTTATTTCGCGTCAATGTTTTAGCGCGAGTGATGGGACGAACTTAATTGCCGTTTCGAAAGCTTCATTCCCGGCTGAGAAAGGAGACGCGTCCAAGGTGGACCGAGTAAATTGCACACATTATTATGAAAAAGGAACGTCGGTCGCTGCGGTACAATTCGGTTTCTCGTTAGCGTGGAAATTGTACGGATGGTAGATTAGCGTGAATTACGGTGGCAAGCTGTTGCACTGCAGAGGCATCGCGCGATTCTTTCCGTGGAAATTGTTTCCGGTGTGCGCGGTCCGCTATCCCGGATTTATTCTAATTGAATAACCAAGAACAATTGTTCATTGTTGAGCAAATGGAAGAAGTAGTTTTATCCGAGAAACGAAAAAGCGATTTTGTACCGAGCACGAATTTTAAGTCTCATTTGCTCTTATTAGTTTCAGTATTTGTTGCTTTAATCCTCTTCGCAGCGTAATCTGTAATACAACAAGCGATTTTTTAATTATAATATGGATTATCTAACTAGAAATTAACGTAGCTTCGCAACATTAAACAAAATTAAATTAAAGGAATTAAACATATCGTATACACAACACATTTTACCACAATTGTTCAATAATTAAGAGTAAAATACATCGTTTACCAAACATTGAAATTGACTATATTACGATAAAACAAATCATAACAGATAAATACATTTCATTCGATTTCCTGAAATTCATCAGAGGGAGAGGGGACTAATCAAAGAACAGGTAATATGTAGTTAGGTATTTCGCATTCGAGGTGGACAAGCGTTCTCTCGCGTGGGATGAATTAACCGAGGAGGATAGTTAGTAATGAACAGTTAGCTGGTAACGACGTGCAAAAGGCGGTCGAGGAGGCTAGAGGAGGTAGCTGGAAAAGAATAGAACGAGCAAAGATGGAACGCGGGCTGCCTTTTATTTCCTTAGGAAGTGGCGCGAACAATGAAGGTGGAACGAGGAACGCCGTGTCCTGAAGGAAAATTGCAAGGCCGATGGAAATTATCGTTGCCTGCTACCTTTACGGAAACTCGTGCATAAATATTCCCCGGAAATCGTTGAGCAAAGGCGTTTCGGAAAGTTTTCCTCAAAGCCCGAGGAATTTTCTAATCTTTCTCTTTGACTCCCAAATGACTATTGTATATTCAGAGACATTTTGAAGGACTTATTAATGAATGAATAATACTAGGATAAGTCAATAAGAATTAACGTGTAAAGTAGGCTAATCATATTAAAATATTTTGCACGTGTTAATTGGAATTTGTTGAAATATAGGAATTCAATAAGCTTATACAATTAATTTGAACCATCAATTAATGGAATCGGCGAATAATTAATTATAGTGGTATTGATTTCTCTTTATATGATATTGATAAAAGTCTCTCTATGTTATACAAATACATGATGATGATGAACTATATATGTACCTAAGTAAAATTCATTCTGTTTGAAATCAAATGCTTTTATGTACCTAAGAAAAAGCAGCAAAGGTGAACAGAATCAGTAGACAGTGTTACGTTGATGACAGAATAATTTCTTCTGGAAGAACACATTTATTTGACACGTACACGTAGAATCTGATAAAAGATCCTGTTGGAAGATGCGCACATAGTTTATGTGGGTATTAGATCTTGAGAATGCAACAGGGAATCTAGAGTTTAAATTTAAACAATCTTTCCGGCGTGGCCTAACGCAGGAGGTATACGTTCGTTGTCGTCGGGAAGAGAAAATGTATCAGGCGTTTTCCGGGTTAATGTTGCGAGCGAAGTATGTGACACGATAAAGGATCATGCGCGCGCGCGGCTTCTCCATGGAACTCGGCTATTGACTCTTGATATTCAACCCTCTTTTCCGCCTCGTAAACACGCCGCTCGGCCGCGAAAAAAGTACCCGGGAGGAGAATGAACTGGCGCGCGCGGAAGTGACGCGTGAAAAGGATGTGTCATTTACGAATTTATTTTATCGCGAGGGTGTGAACAGTTTGCTTTCTCTCTCTCTCTCTCTCTCTCTCTCTCTCTCTTTCTCTTTCTGTTTCCCTTGCTGGTTTCGCCGCTGAACTAGAAACTCCATCACCTTGGATGCGAGCTTGACTTGCGATATTTTTGCAATCTGTTTCGCGACATCTTAAACGTGTATTCTTTCTTATTATCGGGTATCAATATTGTTTCTTGTCCACAAAACATCTTGTCTTTTATGTTAAAAATGCAGTAAATGTTGTTCACGCGTTCTCCTGGATAAAGTTTATGTGACTGACGTTATATTAGAAAGTTTACCAGCCGATTAATGAATTTAAATAATAAAATGAATAAAAAGAAAAATTAATAAAAACATGAGTGGACAAAATATGAGATATAATAAATACTAATAAGTTAGGTAAACAAGAAAATTCTTTTGTATATTTTTTTTATTGCTGTTAATGTGAAACCATATCATAATAATATAAATGAATAAATATCAATCGGAATATTTTTCATTACCAAAAGTCATGTTGCATTATACTATTTTATCACTGTGAATAATGGTTCGCGAACGAAAGCGAATGAAAAATTGTACGCTCTCGCGAATAATGTGCCGGAACAAATGTTTATTGTAGCTCGCGTAGAGATCATTTTGATCGCGTTCGGAGCAGGTTGAAATATGTTTCGCGTATTTACGTTTCAGATGGCACCTGATGTTACGAGCGAAGCGGGGCGGCCTCATATATCGTGGCGATCTTTATATACGCGCGTGGCAGCTGCAAAGTGAATCTCGTCGTCGGGCGCATCAACATCAAGGCAATATCTGCTTATCGGTAAGCAACGCATACATTTTTATGATATAAAATTGTTGTCACCCTATTTGGATACTTTTGAATTATTTCTCGTTCATAATAGGGTTAAGTTATAAAGAGGTTTAAATTATGAACAAGAGACACGATCATTACTGTGAAATAATTATGTATAATTAATCGCGCACTCTCAGAATATTAACGATTACTGAATCAAGACTTCCTATAATAAGAAATTTCAATCGTTGCGGTTGGAGACGATTAGAAGATTACGATATTAATAATACATACATCAAGTTTTGGGAATTCTTTGATCCACGTTTCTTAGCATTTCAGTTTTTCATCGGCGTCCGCTTCATTTCACCTTTGAGTGGGCGGCGATAAAAGTAATTAGACGAATTAGTCGGTGACGAAGGCCGTATACCGTGAACCGGAACACCAAGCTTCCGTTTCGGTGGCCTCTTAAACTCTCACCGGAGATTAATTGAGATTCTACGGTCACGCCGTATCGCCATATAATTCTAATTAAATAGATTCGACTTTGCCTCCTGTCTTCTATCCCGTTTCGTTCTCTTTTACGGCCACCCCCGCTCTCCCGTACCCTCGGCGCAATTCGTTCCAGTCGTTAACGATTTAACTCGAGGAAACTTGCGCACTTTCGATGAGCCTCTACTTTATTTCATTTTAGTTATTTTTTGTATGGAAATTTTTTGTCGATTCGTTCGAGAATAACTACAATTCTACTTCTCTTTGCTGGTTCCTTTTACAATTGGGTATAAAATCAATTTGTTTCTTACAGTATTGTTTGTTTTCTACATAAACATTTTTCATATCTCTTTCATCACAAAGTAAACTTATTCTATTCACATGTCTATTTATGGTATTAAATATGTTATCATCAATGCAATAATGTTAATGTAGATATGATCTGTGGAGATGCACCTCTCCAGATAATCTTAGTTGTAATCGTGACCTAAGGGCGTATGGCATATAGACGCGGTGCTCTGGTAAGCATGTCAAGTCTCTGGGTGAAACGCGTCTAATTGTCTGTTGCAGGAGGGTGGTTGTTCGACGCCTCGTGTCGCCAGCGTGTCGGTACAACTCGAACAGGACAGCAACAAGTCGGAACAGCTGGAACGGGCACCGCGTTGCAACGTACGTACCTGTAGGCAATCCAGAAAGGGAAAGGCGCGCGTGACCGCGCCCGCGTTGCTCGTACAGAATCTCCTCGAGACACTCTAGCCAGGTCGGTAGCTCGACTAGAACCACTATTTCTCTCATCGAACCACTCGGTTCCCTCGCGAACAAGCTGAGCCTCTCGAAACGGGCTCCGAATGAAAAAATATGGGTCGAGAGTATTGTTTTGCGTGATAAGATTTTCGTCATGGAACAGAGCCAGAACGAGTCCTCTGGCATACGTATTCGATGACGCGATCTAACAACACTAGGAACGCGAGTTCAATTTTTAAAAGCGAGAAGCTGTACGTAGGCTGCCTGGCTAATACTTGACGAACACAATAAACCTACTATCGATAGCGTCGGGGTATCTCAAATCAAGTATAAATTTGTTGTTGCAATTTGTCGGGTGTGCTTTCGACGTTCTCCGAGAGATGAAAATTCTTGCGATGCTCCGACTTTTTTCAATATAATTTTCGTGCACCATCGATATGGAAAGTTGTTGGAAAGAAACTATTCAAAAATACGAATCGAATATATCAATTAACAATTTCTTCCTAAAAAAGTAATTCACATGCATACTGGGGGAGTCAATAAGAAATGTCATTAAGAATAACGTAATATTTATTAATTTTATTCTAGAGTGTCACTTAAATGAATTTTAATTTATTGAAATATTAGAATGGATTCAGTTAATAAGATTCATGAAGTAGGAAATTCATTTAAGAAATTGTTTGATACAATGAAATAATTCGTGTATTCATACGAATGTTTTTTGTTGATTCATCCTGTGTATAACTTTCTGGATGCTAGGAAATGAGAAAAAACGTGGGGATTTTTAAACCGTGAAAATTACATAAATCACATTTCTCTCGCATCATGTTCGACGACAACAGTTTCGAAGAATATTCTTTTGCCATTCCGCGCATTCCTACGAGATGGAAAAAGCTTGGCCTCCGTTTTGGCCAGTGTGGAATGTGTAAATACTATCGAATACATAGACCTGAGTTGATATTATTTTTCACACACGAATTTCGATCAGGACTTTCACGAGTGTTTACCAGAAACAAAAATGTAAGGATCTCTGTATAAAGGAATTTTCCTCGGATCATTCTGTGCGTGTTTTTGTCTCCAATTACGCCGGACACGTAGTATTCCGCACGTTACTGTAACTACACGGTGCCAATATTTAACACGTAATATGGCGTTCGCCGTTCGATATGGCTTTTTTAAAACAATTGAGTATTTAAGACGATGACGGATGGAACGACGAAGGAGAATAATAATAATAATGATGTATCGTCATTCTTCGATGAGCTTTTTTCGGCAACGTTTCAAACCGTTCGATGAAGTACGATTTCCGATCGGCTCTTATATTGTATTTCGTTTTGTATAAAAATACTGCTGAAAAAATCAAAGAACTTTTGTTTGGTACATGGTTATTTGTTATTTGGTATTGGTATTTATTAATATCTATGGTCGATATGCCAAGCAATTTTATGAAAAATTTTTCAAGATATGTGTTCTGTCGATAAACTAATAATGGCATCAGAAAATATTAGAAAACAGAAATATTTTGAATTTAGAATAGATATTTTCGAACCTATATTAGGCCGGAAAAATTGTCAAACTGAAAATGGAGAGGAAACTAAGAAAAGAAGACATTAGCCTCTTGGTTTATTAAAACCAAACGGATATCAATTAAAACAATTCGATTATGACAGACCTGTAATTCTTCTTAATTGAAAATAAAAAACGGTCACAGGATACACATGATTATTTTCTCTATCCGTATTTTTTCTTTACGTGCTTGCCAGTTAAGGTAAATCGCTTTAAACGAACGCGTTTGTGGGAAACGTTGCCAAAACTTAATGGAAGACCAATGTATATACGCTGTACACTAATAAAAAGAAAAGGAAAAGAAACATCGAAACATTCGGCGATGCTTTTTGAACAATTCTCTATAATATTGTATGTACGTTTGAGATTAAGTATAACTCGGATGAATTGCACGCGCGTGATTATCGAGAATGGATCAGACTTGAGAGTTTCTGAAGAGAAAGAAAGAGAGAGAGAGAATGGGTATGCAATGGGAACTCGAAATAAGATTCGCAGATGTCAAGATGTATAGACGTGACGTGAATCTCTGTTTGGTAAGGCTTGTGTCGGTTCGTGTATACGTTCTATCTCTTCTCGTGCGATCCTCCCCCCTTATATGCCACCCTTTCCCCGATTCATCCGTCGAAAAATTTTCAAATCGAAGCACGTTGGTGACGAGATAGTGGAGACTGTCGTTGGCCAAGCAGCAATTTACCTTAGCTTCTAAGTTACCGAATTCGTTGCCATCTTGGGTAACGAGAGTGGTAGCGCTTGGCTAGTCGCTAAAGGTCGAGATGAAATATTTTTTTAAACGCGCCGCCGTCAACGATGCTTCAATATTGAATCGTGTGCTGGGTGTTGCGTGACTTCTTCTCCTTCCAAGGAAATTGCGATTAAAAATTATCAATTGAAGCTTGTCAACACTTAAGATCGATCGAATATAGAGAAAGTGTATATGACATATAACTGTTACATGTTTCACAAGAAGATATACAAGGCTATCATATAAGATACAGACTGTGAATGAAACAGTAAAGACAAGATCCCTTGGTGTCCAATAATAATTGAAAACTGTTTTGTCCTTCACATTTGATAACACATTAAATTGAATGATTTACTAATCATATTTTGTACACCTGTACGCACGCAACACTTGAGGTGCACGCGACGAGATTAATGTGAAACTATCGTTGCTTGAATCTCCCAAGAAAGAAGTTGAGCGTGTAAAACCTTGCGCACAAATCGGTTACGATTTGACGGCTCGACGAAGCTGATACGACGTGAGGAATCGATGTAATTTAAGGATCCAGCATAATTCCTTGAGACGACGATGTAAACGTTATTTTATTATCGTAACGAATAGGTAACGGAGAAGTATTTATATAGCTATGCTTTAATACCTGAACGGTACCGAAATTGTTAACAATAATTGCTCAGCAAATAAGACGAACAGACAAGATTGTTCATCGCTTACTGTGTACAGTACAACACAATTAAGAAACCAAACTACGGCTTCGTTTATTCAACTTTATCAGTTGCGTGCAATAAGTATATCATTTGTCGTTCCCTTTTAATCATCAGAGAAAGAAAGCTTACGTGAAAGAAAATTACTTTCGCTATGCATGAGATTTTGCAACAAACTATGTACGTCAGAAAATGAGAATAAAACGGCTCGAGCTTCAGTTCCTAACGGAGTTCAAAACAATTTTCACTTGTCGCGTTACTTTCTTTTACAAACTTTCTGATAAAAAAGAGTCGTTGGAACTCGATGATGCGACGGGGCCCGATTTCGCGTCGATTCAACGGCCAACGACTGAAACGAGGTAAAGGAAAAGATAAACCAATGGGAAGACGATATTCTTATTTATTGGGGTAGATGAAAGCACTGGCTGGGTCGAGGCGGGATCGGTCCGTACGTGGGCCGCGTATATTATTAGCAGCAAAACTTAATTAGTCTAGGTTATTACTCCATAGACCAGTTTGTACAATACGTTATCGCGCATATTCAATGTGAATACGAATGCAATTATAAATTATCATAATAAAGTGTATGTTTATATACATGTACCGGGTATTTCGTTCGATTTATGTTCCGATATCTGGACACCGACGCCAATACATATTTCCGACCCGATATGTCTCTCCCTCCGACGTTCCTATACGTACCACATCAATTACCCAGTTTTAGCGCGTTTAATTACGGCTGCTCGGTCAAAATTGCGGTTTTGCCGATCATGGCACGGGACGAATTTGTGGATCGCTTTCGTCCTGAATGGGCCGAACAAACGCGTCCCAAGAGACGGAATTATCGAACGTGTTGGATAAACTTTATCAGGGAAACACCACAATTGTTTGGCAGTCCTTATTTTACTATTTCACGTTCTTTTCTACACCTACTCTTTCTACTTCATCAATCATACTATTTTTATAATAGTCAGTCGCAGAACAACAACGGATGTTATTAATTTATATCGTATTTCATTAAAGTTATAATTTAAACAGAAATACAATTTTTGTCAAAGTATTAAATTGATTTCCGAATTTTATTTCCACTCTTCTATCGAATTATGAAATAATATTTACTGTTCTCGTTTTCGTCGCTGATTTCGTCGTTCATCTTGTTATCCTTCCCACCTGAATCAACAAAAAAAGGACTACGCTGTATTGGTTTTGGCGAGACATTTATTTGATTTATTTGACTCGTAAAGATTCCTGTCGTTGAGGATTCGCAAACATTGCAGTTTGCTTAATCAAGGAACTGGCTGACGTACTGGGACTGTGAAAACCCAGCAGGAAGAAGTTTCTCGGACATGGCAATCATCTGTGTCTAAGGTCAACATCGTCAAGGTAACTTGGTCAGATGAGACAATTTCTGAAATTCTTTCACAATAAATGTGTCCACGCTATTAGTGATTTACTAGAATTCTCTATAGGGTACTATTGTAATAAATCGCAAATCATAAATCAGTGTCTTTATTGCTCTAATTCGTATAAATTGTATCCGTGATTTGAATTCACCATCTGTATTTCGAATCAGTATATCGTGGAACACGCAATACAATTAATTATTATTCCTACTCATATATTAGCTTCCAAATAGTCCGTATTTTGTACCCTTAAATAGATAGGTGGATTCACTAATTTAAATTCCTTGCCAGATAGATCTAACCAACATCAATTGACTATAATTAATTGCTGTAATTCATGATTCGAATGTTGGATGTATTCATTCCATAATACACGTAGTACATTAAGCATATTCATTTACAATTTCTCTATCAAAATTTCATCGAACATTCAGCCAATTCATCCCCGCTAATACTCTTTGCTTTGCAATATGGATTAACTACCGTTTGCTTCAGTTTCAATTTCATTGACTCCTGTCAATTATTAATCTGCCTCTATTGGAAAGAACAGCATGCTTTTAATGTCATGGACCTGGTATCTTTATTTTTGAAATTATTTTATATTCTCGTAGCATTTATTTATTTATATTCAATTAATAGGAAAAATCTAATTCCAAGTTATCAAATTATCAGGTAGCCAATCTGACTAGCGTGAGCCATAAACTAAGTTTTATTTAGTATACTCATTTTATCTTTATCTACTTATTTATTGTTTATTGACCCATTAGCATAATTAATATTTTAAGGCATAAGCATTTATTGTTTTTCACTTATTAGTTTAATTAATATTTTAAGACGTAAGTTAAAATTGTTATTATTTCTAAACGTCAAAATTATGTCAAACTATAACATCATCAATGCCGAGTCGAGCATTGAAAAAAACAAGATATAGACTTATTACTCTTTTAAATTTTGTTTTGCTTTGTTCCCCTAGGGAAAATTAACACGAGTCGGAGGTTGCTCGGAATCGTTATCCCAAGTTGTACAGCATGAAAAGGATTGGTAACTTGTTGAGTTATAACTGATATGTCTGCATTGTAAATTTTCTTGCAGAATCGTACAACCTACAAAACAATTTGAATATCCAACTCCCGGGCATGAATTTATCGGTGTACTCAGTTGGCCGTGTACACACCTGAGCATGTCTCGGGAGAAGGAGTACGCAGGTGGTTGGGAAGAGTCACCCGGCTTTATGCTCGACTCACAATGAAACGCTCTTGCCTGGAAATAATAGAAACCAGCCGCAGCGGAGAATTTCGGGTAGACCGGCTAGGTAAGTATGTATCGTGCAATTTTAACGGTAATTGCTTGTGGCTTAACGCGTCACAATTGGAGTAGCCTTTATTTCGCCCGGAGGGATGGTTTCGCTCGAGGGCGGAAGAGGCGGTACCCACTGAAAAGCCCTGCGAATGTATTCTGCACGATTACGCGAGGGAACGCACGGCCCTTGCTCTTTCCCCCTTTCAACCTACCCCTGAAACGTGAACGAACTTACTATACCAGCTGATCGATGCATAATGCACGCGTCGGAATCCTGTGTAGGTTGGCTCTGAGTTGGGAGTTTGTTTCCCGTGAGGAACGATGTTCGAATTAAGGTCCGCAAATGGAGAACTCGGTTATGATTCGCTTCTATAGTTGGTAATTATACATACATAGTGTAGTATGGGCGGTGACAATTATACATAGTTCATGTATCTAATAGAACGTACGTTTCACAAGTGCGTTATATTTGTTCAAAAACTATTAACTCTATAAGGATCATAGCGTTAAGGCGGTTTCAATTTTCTCAGATTTCCCTTAGATCGTGTTAACAAGTTCCAAGTTGGCTATTTACTAAATACATAATACAAGAATTTTGGAAATGTTAACCGATTTTTATAAAATAATTTGTTCGTTAAGGGATCAAATAAATAATAACTGGGTGGAAACTTAAGACTACGATACAATTTTTCAAAATTTTTTCCACTCTCGCCGAAATTAACGTCAATGATCCAAGCTTGAGTGGCTATACCAGTGTGACCGCTCAAAATTTAGGTGATATTTAGAAATTTTTTTTAAATAAAGTATTCCATCGAATGTTTTTAGAGTTCAGGGATGTATTTGCTTATAGTTGAAATGTACAAAATAATTTTTTCGTATAAAAATATTGATGTGCGACCGACTTGCACTATCTCCCGAGACACCAAAAAACAGTTCGTCCACTGCTGCAGTGATACTGGCCGCTAGAGTGCTTGACATGAAAAAAAAAATACGCTGTTAAACTATATAGAAGGTATTCTCCGTACAAGCTACTTGAAAAATATTAAAATCTGACAAAATGGCGGAGTTTTGAAAAAAATTGTGATTTATCCTTAAAAAAATAGTTGTTTTTTCGATGCCAGATTGACAGTTTCCATTCATTCAAATAGTACATTGTGTACCTAGGGCGCAAAATAGGGCATTCTAGCACTGGCAAGAGCGAAGCGAGGGCGACAAAGTCACACGAGTGACAGAATGCCCTTTGCGCCCGTGGTGCACATACAATTTTTTGACACGCCGGGCGAGAAATTCGATCATTGAGAATTGTACGTTCAGCTTAATTACAAAGAAGGGGGTACAGGGGGCGAAGTCCCCTGGTGGGGTTCGGGGGGGACGATGTCTCTCCGGGAAGGGTTGTGGGG